TGGCCTGCGGAGGCGGGGCGCCTGCGCAGACCCGCCGCGCTGCCCACCCCCGTCCCCGCCGCTCTCCCGCGAACCGGCCTCCCGCGGGTCCTCGTGTCCTGCGGACGGCTCCGACGTCGGCCTGCAGATCGCTGATGGGCACACATTGGGCCCACGTCTCCCTCCATCGTCTCTGAAGCGCCAGCTCGGGGAGCGGCAAGCGCGCCACGCAGCCCAGGGCCCTTCCCCTTCCAGCTCCGGACCCGCCTCTCTAGGATTTAGGCGCGCTCCGCTCTCCCTCCTAAATTGGCTCCGCCCCTTGCCTGGAGCCTCCACGCTTGCGCCCTGCGCGGCGGCGGCGGCGCCCGCGCACTTGGCGGGTTAGCGCTTGCGCACTCGGGGCCTGGCGGTTCCCTCCGGGAGGGGCGGACGGGCGGGGCGGGCCAGATGGCTGCGGGAGAACCGCCCTTGCCCTGGGGACGGCGCGCAGCTGGACCCCGGCGTCGCTTTGCTGAGCACCTCCCGGTGGCCGAGGGCGCGGCCGAATCTCTAGTCCTGGCCGCAGCATTCTTTGAGGTTTTCAGCCACCAAGCATTTTTACCAGTGTGTGAATTGGTATTTTCGCCTATTCTGTGTCGCGTCTTTGCCTTCGCAGGCTGAGCGCAGGACAGACAGCACACCTGTCCCCTCCATCCCACCATTAAGTCAAACTCCCCACTTCTTTGGGCTGGAGGAGCCCCGGCTAGGTGGATATTTCTGTAGCGAGGGCGGGAGTGAATGTGTTCATTATTATACAGTCTGGTGACAAGCAGTAAGTAGTGCGCTCCCCGTGATGCTGGGCACTGCACACCTTGAATTTGTTTCTACATGGTGACAATGCACAGGACTCGGTTTCAGAATATGGCGCCCTAACGCTACAGGATGCTCGCTCCGAGAAACGCCCACCCCCTCAACCTGCCAGTTCCCTCCTGCTTTTCTGCAGCAGTATTTGACTTGCAGTTAATGTTGCATGCGGTCAATGACAGCGCCTGTTGTAAGGCGGGGCCAAGATTAGACTGAGTCATACAAGGGCTGAGTGGATCCAGTTCTTAACTAAATTAGTTTATCTCTAGTTTTCTGGTATTTTTACATTTGAAAGTGTTGCATAAAAATAGTTATGGGTGGTGTTGCTTACCAAAATCTTGGCAGCATTTTCTGTTTTGTTTCTGAGAACGGAGCCTTTAAGTATAAATGGCTGAAACGACAGAAGTCTTTCTGGGACTTTTTGTACTACTGAGAACGAAATTGGCGGTCCAGATTTCCAGCAAATGAAAGAAAGAACTGTCAATAGAGGCATGGATTGAGAATTTTGAATGGTCAGCTAAGTTTGAGTCTTTGAACATTGTACTGACCTTGCAAAGCACTGCATAAAAAGTGCCTGCAGCCCATCAAGCATGGGGATCAGAAAAGTGAGAAGGTAGATCTTGTGGTAGCTTGTAGATTTCCATGTGAAGTTGTAAATTTCTTCTGATTACACTGCATAGGGGTTTTAGCTAAAGTAATTTGCTGAATGAATATTAAAATGCTGTCTGATCAGGTGTGGTGGCACACACGTTTAATCCCAGCAATTGGGAGGCAGAAAATTGAGTTCTAGGGCTACACACAGAAACCCTGTCATGAAAGACGGAGATGGTTGTGTAAAACATACTCCCTAGTGGGTAAGTGCGGAAATAACACTGAATGCAGACCATTGGTGTATTGTGTGTACAGTAATGGAGTTGGGTTTTTAGAGGCAAGGGAAACCTATCAGAACGCTGAGGAGGGACTAGAAAAATCTTGGTATTAGCTTGCCTTTTTAAAGCATTAGTTTAGCATTAGTTTCACTTTATAATGATTGTGCTTAGAAGTCAAACTTCACTGTGTACTAGGATTTCAGAGCTAGTCAAGACAATGCAGAGACTTTTGAATCCTCCAGAGGTAGGGGAGGAATTCTCAAGGAATTAGAAAGGTGAAAAGGGAAAAAAAAAAAAAAAAAAAAAAAAAAAAAAAACAAAAAACAGTTCCTTTAGGAAAGACTTCAGGAGTCCAAGGCCAGGCAGTGGTGGTGCATGCCACTAATCGAAGCACCCTGGAGACAGAGGCAGGTGGATCTCTGTGAGTTCAAGGCCAGCCTGGTCTACAGTGTGAATTCCAGGACAGCCAAGGTTACAAAGAGAAACCCCCATCTTGAAAAAACAAAGATTTCCTGTTTCAAAAAACAAGCATGTTGTAATATTGTTATCACAGATGTTTAAGGGACATTTGCATCAACCATACCAGGACTAGGACCTTGTTCCCAAATTAATCAGTAGTGCTGCTTTTTCAGAGAACCTGGGTTCAATTCCCAGCACCCATTGGCAACTCACAACTGTCTGTAACTACAATCCCATGGGATGAGATAACCTAATTTGGCATCCATGGGTACTGCAGGCACCTGGTGTACAGACATGCATGCATGAAAAACATATAAAAAGCAGATTTAAAGTGTTTTTAAAGATAAAGTACCTTTCATGAGAAGGGAGGGATTCTGTTTATGTTACCTGGTTTCTGTGCTAAATACTGTTAGCAGCTTGAAAACCCTTGCCTATCAGTAATGGTGTTCCACTACTCACTTTCCAATAGTAAGAACTAAATCCTCAGTATAAAGTAAGTGTACTGAAATTATAAGCTGAGTTCTGAAGGAAATTTGCTGGATATATATATATATATATATATATATATATATATATATATATATATATATATATATATATATATATATATATATATCTCCTAAAAACTGTTCCTAAACAGTTTTAGGAACTGTTTCCTAAAGGAAACATATATATCCTAAAAGTGTTCCTAAAAACTTAAGACTACTGCTGATTCCAAAAAATCTGGGAAACTGCCTCATAATTCCTTTATTATTTAGGTTAGAGCCTCTAAAACCTAGCAACAGCGGCATGGAACAGTCAAACGCTCCCTATTTCAATAGGAATTTATGTGACAACAGTGCTAGGTCACAGGAAAAGGTATGGGTGGTTTAAACTGGCCAAGTCTTAAGCATTAATGTCCACGAATGTCCAAACAACTCGCATAGTACCAGAGTATCTAGTTTGATCTCCATAGATGAAAATCTAGTGCAGTGTCTTGAAAATCAAGATCAGGGGTCTGATAAGGGTAAACCCACTGGATTATGTCTATAATTGGATCTTAGTTTGAGGAAGCCAACTATAACACACCTGGGGAAGAAGTAGAGAAATCTGAACTATTAGTGCTAAGTATTTGGGATCTACCATGAATTTTGTCATGTGATGATATATGCTTAAGTAGTGCCAGTTGGTATGTGCGAGAGGGAACTGTCAGGTTTGCAATTTTTTTCAGACACTAGATGTACGAAAACATTATTGAAAATGGGCAGTGACTCTGGGTGTCTGACAGTTAAGACATGAGCCCCATTCAGAAGGGACTCTTAAAACCTCAGTTGTGACGCTGACATACTTAGTATCACATTGGCAACACCATTCAAACTACTGCAGCCTGGACCTCTCTTTGCTGCCAGTATGTGAAGCTTGTCAGTAGCAGGTGGTGTGAGAAGCCCTGTAAGCATGACAGGACATTTCATTTCTCCTCGTCCATGGCACAGCCTCTGGGGGCACTCTCGGACACCATAATGGTTTATTTCATAAATTTGGCTTGCTGTTACCAATGTATTTCGTGACATAATATTTTAGATCTTCTCAAGTTTTGGATGGCACTGGCATTTAAATCAATGAAAAATCAGTTAACCTAGATTGCCCTCTATGCTACCATGTTTACCCAACCAGGCTGAAGGTCCGACTAGAGAAAACCCAGCCTCCTCCAATCAAGAGAGAAACATCAGCTCTTCTTGGTCTCCACTCAGCTGATTCACACTGCAGATCTTGGGACACATAGTACTGCTCTATATGGGGCCATCCTTATAGTGATCTGTGTAGACACATCCTATTAGTTTTATTTCTATGGAGAACTGATATAGCCCACCAAGGAGTTTTGTTCATACTTGAACAGGAGGCTTTTTGCTTACCATGCCCCATGGGCTTGAGGTTCTCTGAAAGACCCACGCTACCAGCTGCAGGGCAACTCAGGAACCTCTCCACCATTGAGTGGGCTATGCCATGCCCTACAACAGGCCTGACTCTACCCTGTGGAAGCACCTTATAAGGATGTGCTTTTATTAGGAACTTCGTATAGGCCATTCTCTCTCAGCCCCAGCATACCTGACTTTTAATGCTAGTCAATTTCACTGTCAGAATCTATCTCTTTACATCACATTAACAAAGATATTTCTGCTTAGTATTTGAAATTTTTGAGCACCTATTATTTTGCACAAAAACTTGTTGGAAATACGGGCCTATGTTAGAATGCCAAAATGTTGTTGGTATTTTTGTTCTTTTTATTCTTTTGAGGAGCCCACCACCCAGCTCCCAAATAAATCACAAATGGAGGCTTATTCTTAATTATAAATGCTCAGCCTTAGCTTGGATTGTTTCTTGCCAGCTTTCCTTAAATTATCCTGTCTACCTTTTGCCTCTGGGCTTTTACCTTCTATTTCTGTATATCTTACTTTCACTCTTACTCCGTGGCTGGCTGTGTGGCTGTGCGGCTGTGCCCTAGCATCCTCCTCTCCTTGTTCTCTTGCTCCTTCTTTCTCCTCCCAGATTTCTCCCTCTATTTATTCTCTCTGCCCGCCAGCCCTGCCCACCCTTTCTGCTGCCTCACTATTGGCCGCTCAGCTCTTTACTAGACCAATCAGGTAACACAGCTTCACAGAGTTAAACAAATATAACATTAAAAGAATGCAACACATCTTTGCATCATTAAACAAATGTTCCACAGCATAAACAAATGTAACACACCTTAAAATAATATTCCACAACAACTGTCTTCCTTTGTGTCTCATTTTTTATAGAGTAGAGTCCAAGAAACTGTTACCTTACATTCCTCAAGAGAATACCTGTTAAATATTGGCACAAAGTGATTTTGCTCTAAGATTTTTCTAGTCTGTATAAAAAAACAGCTTTACAAAGTAGCTTAGTCTTTTCTGGAAATCATTTCTACTAGAGATTCATAATCCGAATAGTCCTTTAGTGATTGTATCATGTCATCCAGAAGACAGTCTCCTTGCATGAAGTTCTCAAGGTCATGCAGTGACTTGTTTATCCTGTGATCTGTGACCCTGTTCTGTGGAAAGTTGTACGTTCTTATTTTCTCTGATCTTCCTTTAGTTCCAACCTAAAGAAACGGGGGAGACATGAGATGCATTAGGATCCAGAAGGCCTACAGCATTGCAAGAACCAAGTGTAAGTCCCTGACTCCCCAGATGACATGGTGGAATGGTACAGAGAAAAGAAGGTAGACTTTAAAATCAGACACGGTATCTAAGTCCTGCCTCTGCTCCTTCAATGCTCTCTGGCTTACGCCGAAACTTTAATTTCCCACCAGCAAAATACTGATTACATAACGATGGAGTCTGGCATGGGGCTGATATTTAAACGGTAGAAGCAGCATATTTATGTGTACATTTATATGTAATCTCTGGGAATTCGTGTCATCCTGGAGTGGTGAAAAGATGATGGGTGGTCATACTAAAGAAGTCATGGAAAGGCTGTATATGGCATAAAATGAAATACAAAACAGTAGGTTCATACTTCCATTATTCTTGCTTCCATAGGTTCCAAGGATTAAAAGCTGAGTAGGGACTTGGTACACTTTGACAGATCTGAGAAAAATACGCTTGACTATAGAAAACAGGATGAGACTGTACATGGGTACTGCCCTTATAATGAAAACAAGAACAGTAGTAACATAAAAACTACACTACCCATACATATTTTATCTTTGGGTTTCTTAAATCCATTTTTACCTGAATCTTTCTAGCGTTGTATCTTTTGGTAGTTTCTTCCTCTAGATGCATGCTGTAGAGCCTTGCCCGTAACTTCTTCATAGCCAGCTCCCTGTTCTTCAGTTGAGATCTCTCTTGCTGGCATTCAGAAACAATGCCTGAATAACATTATGAGAATTACAGAATTTTAATACAAAAATCTTTATTGTCAAGGACTATTCCTTTTCTTTCTTATCCCTTTTGTTCTTTTATGAGATAAATCAAGACTCTTAACAGAAGACTTTAAATACTTTTAATACAGACTTTTTCACATTGTTGGTTACCTATCTTAAAAAAGACTTATAAAAATGAAATGTATTGTTCCCGTTAAGGTAAGCCTGAGCCATATAAACCAGACATCCCTGTCACTCACAATCCACCCCAGGGCTCTAGTAACACTTCAAAGCATGGCTCTACTTAGCAGTGTCCAGTCCATCTGCCCAATTATCCAGATTCAAACTGCCTTGCCTTGGACTTGACGGTCTCAAGGGAAAGATGCTCCTGAAATGTATTTAAAACTGCACACATGTATCATGTTTCTGTGTAGGAAGTCCAAAGCTTTTATTGCCTCCATGGTCCTTGTTACTATCTTAGCCTTAATGCTAATAAGTAGCGATTCAGACCATTTTCTGATAAATAATCCAGGTCATTATCTCACTGAGGTTCTAGTAAATATATATTTCTAAACCCAACTGGCAGGCAGCAGGACTCTGTTCTCTTCACAGTGACTACCATGGCAACTCCTAATGCTTAGCCCTCCCTCTTCCTGGCTTTGTAATTACCTACATGGCATCAGCCACAGAACCTACAGAATCAGGTGATTGGTTAAGAGCCCTTAATGATTTACTTTCTTTTGGCAACTGAAGGTCCGCTTCGGTGGGAAGCCAGTCAGTCCCCCAGAAATTGATCTTGACTCTAAGTTCCGTGTTGGAAAAGTTGGTACATACCTGTAGGAAGATGAACTATTCGAACAGCACTGTCTGTAGTATTTACATGCTGACCTCCAGCTCCACTTGCTCTCTTAGTATCAATTCTCAAATCTTTAGGATTAATCACCAGTTTAATCTAGATATAAGAAGAAAAGTGGCAACTTTAAGAAACAATTGCATGTATCAACTGTCTTCAGGTGAGACTTACACATTGTAAATACATGTCATACATAGAGTTCACATAAAATTTAAAACGGTTTAAGAATAGATAGTACTTAGGATATTATTTTCAATTTTTTTTCTTTTTTTTAATGAATAGGAAACAAAAGCAACACTCCCTAATCCTCAAAAGTTAAGCTTTTTGTCTCACAAATGATGCAACTGGGGACAGTTAAAAATAGGAGATTTGGGGCTGCAGATGTGGCTCAGTGGTGAAGAGCATGTGTTGCCCTTACGAGGACCTGAGTTAGTCAACACATCAGGTGGTTCCAGCCTCTGTAACTGCAGCTCCAGTGGATCCGCACCCTCTTCTGGTCTCCATGGGCCACATATACACAGATCCACACACATAAACATGATTTTTTTTTAAAAAGTAGAAAATATAAAATTTTGCTGAATTCAAAGACTTTAGCAGAGAAAACAGAAAATAATAGCAGTTTGAGTACATGAAACTGTTTCAGGGAGAGAGGGGATGGTACTTTATTATAAATAATTTGGAGACAAAGATCATGAAGCTCAGGGTATGCATGCCATGAACACTGAAATCAAACAGGATGATGCACTGTCCCAGGAGATACCATCAGAAACACCATGTAGCACGAATCTTAAAAGTTCTTATTAATAAAAATAAACTCAGAGCCAGGTATTGGGATGAACGCTGAAAGATCAGAGAGACAGAACCAGCCACAGCTACCTCACCTTGCCAATTCCTCAGCTGGTCCTGTTTCCTCAGACTGGAAGCCTCTGAGTCCTCATCCAAATGCATCTCAGCTGAACTGCTGCTGAAAGCCTAAAAGCTTAATCAGGCTTCCAGTCTGAGGAAACAGGATCAGCTGAGGAATTGGCAAGGTGAGGTGGCTGTGGCTTGCTCGGCTTCTCTGATCTTCCAGTGTTCACCCCAATACCCTGGCTCTGGGTTTGTTTTTTTTTATTAATAAGACTTTCTAACAATTCGTGTTACAGCACCATGTTTAAAAACGTGTTCCATGAACAACTAGAGACTGATCTATGGCATGTCAATCATCTTGCAGTAAGATAACCCCTCTAAGAGTTGCTAGAAAAGCTAGACGAAACCTAACCCTCACTCCCGTGGTCTAGAAGCTATCTGGACTCCTGACACTGACTCGGCTGTTCTCTTCCTCAGTCTTCTCACAGATACTAAAAGCAAGGAAGGAAAGCCTTCCTATCATACATCTAAATAGGACTTTTTCTTAAAAATAGTAGGTAGAAACCCTCAAATCATTCCTATTTCATTTTTTAAGTGAATTAACTTGTCACTTTTGGCAGAAGAGAAATTATAGACTGAGAACTTGCTTTGTGGGGTGGGACGCACACTCGGGCGGGGCCTTTCTAACACAGCCGGGTCAGAGGCAGCAACTGTGCCCTTTTCTGACGGCACCTGGAGAAACCACCCTGCCACGCCAAGTGAGGCCCTCAAAAGTGTCACCTGACGCATGAGGGAGGCTGACACGGCCCGTTTACTGCTGGAGAAAAACCCAGTGTAATCTGGACAATCTACAGACATTTTTCATTCTTACCATCCGTTGTAAAATGACATTTCTTCAATCAAATTTTCAAGAGTAACTCAAGATAGGAAAGGAAAATCCAAACAATAAGGTTACAGTTGCTGGGAGAGCGGCCCTGTGCCAGCTCCATTACTATGCTTTACCTCAGCAGGCTGGGGCAAAATTGCCACTGTCATGGTGCTGGTGTGGATGCGGCCCTGCTTCTCCGTCTTTGGCACTCTTTGTACTCTGTGTACCCCTCCTTCAAACTTCATGTGTTTATAGGCTTCTGGACCTCCAATGCTGGCTGTCGCATGCCTAAGGCCACCTTGAAAACACAGGGAGAACTGAATTCTTTTTACCATTCTGCCATGCATTGTTTAAATTGACCATCACATGTGTTTTCATTAAATGTGTTAAAAGAGCCACAAAATAACTAAAAATACAGAGGACAAGCACATTGAAGAACTTTAGCAAGTCTTTGATATCTGGTATTTCAATACGTAATCTTTATTTAGATTCATTTAATTTTATGTCTGAGTGCTTTAACTCTGTACATGCATATATGTGTAACATGTGTGCCAGGTGCATGTGGAGTCAGAAGGCAGCATCAGATCCACTGGAAATGGATTTATGGGGGGGGGGGGTTTGTGAGCTACCACATGGGTGCTGGGAACTGAATTTAAGTCCTCCCAAGAGCAGCAAGTGCTTCTAACTACAGCTTTCCAGCACCTTAATCACCAGTGTTACTGTGCAGTTATTAAATCCCAATGCTGAGGAATTCACAACAGTAACATCTAACAGACCACTGGTTGGTTTCTTTTTGAGACAGGTTCTCTTGTAGCCCACACTAGTCCTGAACAGTGTAATTCTTCTGCCTCGGCCTCTTGGGTGCTAAGATTACAGTTGTGAGCCCAGAGTATTCTGAAACCACTTTTCAAAGCTACAAGTGATTATACATACCATATGGAATGGCTTTCCATCGTACTTTATAAGAGATTTCAAAATGGTATCTTTATTTAAAACCATTAGGTAAATATTGGGCATATAACTACTTAGTCCTTACAAATAAGTTCGGATCACCATCTTGCCAACCCTTTTCCAGGACATAATGTAGATGAATCAATGCTTTACAAAAACAAATCACTCCACTTCGAACAGTGCTGTTTAGAGCCACCTGAGAAGCAACTTCACCTGAGAAGCGGGGACAACACTGACCGTCGGGAAGTCTGAGCCCTTTTCCTGACGGATGACTAACGTACGAGGACCACTGGACTGAGGCAGAGGGCAGTGCTGGCCCTGGGCAGAGGGTCTTGGGGTCTATGAAAAAGCAGGCTAGGCCAGCCAGTAAGCGGTTTTCCTCCATGGCCTGTGTTTCCTGCCTCTACATTCCATCCTGGAGTTCCTGCCCTGACTTCTCTTCGCAGTACTGTAACTGAAGGATGAAACAAACCCTCTCTTCCCCAAGTTGCTATTGGTCACGGTACTCATCACAGCCACAGAAACCTAACTAAAACACTGACCTAGTTCACTTGGGAAATAGTCCAACGTTTCAAAATGCCATCTTTTAAAGGCAGCGTACTGCTGGTACATGTCAAACATCTCGGAAGTGAAAAGCATGGCTTCCTGACCACCCACACCCGCAGTCACCTCCAGGATCAAGTCACTCTCGTCTGTTTCTTCTGAAGGAACCAAAAGGGAGATGATCTGTGAACACAAAGACAGCACCTTCCTGTGACTAAGAACTAGTCAAACCAGTGCCCAAAGCTATAAAATTAGAGAATTTAGTATGTAACCCGTTTCTCTAAACAAATCATTTAATATTGTTCTTCACTACAGTTTGATCATCTTGCTAACTACAAATATATAATGCATAATTTCCACTAAGGTATTAATTTTCAGTTATATTTTAAGTATTATGAAATGCATCTACTTTTGATAATCAGGTTTGTTTTTATTTCTTCTTGGAATTCTTTCATTTCTGATGCTCCTGCCTCCACCTCCTCAGTGCTGGGACTAGAGCTATGCACCACCACACTGCTTTTATGTGGTGCTGGGGACTAAACTCAGGGCTGCACAATGCTGGATAAACCCTCCAATAACTAAGCTACGCCTCCAACCCCCACTTTGGGAATCTTGCACACTTTCTATCAACTCCCTATTCAGATATAGTTTGGAATTAAATGCTGGGAGTATTATACCGCGTGTAGTGTGCAAAAGAAATTCTCCTCTCTTGAAATACAAACCTAACATGGAAGGAAAACTGCATTTAGCAGTTACGCTTCCTTAACATGGGAGAGAAAACTTGATTTTGGAAGTTTAGGACTGGCACTCTATCAACAAAAGCCACGTTCTTGCCCCTTCAAAGTTCAGTTTGCCATCACTCTATAATCTTTCCTATTCATTGCCTTCCCAGTAAGAGCTGGTACATGAATTTATCAGTGAGAGCTGTACAGTACACAGGTCTTGTAGCATGAAGAATTTGAAAGATAGGAAGAATAACATTTTCTGCTTTAAAACCCCCTTTGACACTGGTAATCCCTTCATGGAGTGTGCACACAAGAGAAACATCATGTTGTAGGCCTGCAACAGATGAAAGTTTGTCACTTGTTCCCCAGTAAGACAGACAAGAGCTACAAAAGTCTAGAGTTGGAGAAAGGGCGATGACTGCTGTGGGATGCCTGTCTGTGCACTGTGAACGTGTGCTGCTCTCACTGGTTGATAAATAAAGCTGCTTTGGCCAACAGCCAGGCAGAACAAGGTTAAGCGGTGCAATCACTGAGACGGAGGGTGGAGTGGTGCTGAGGATGTCGCTCTGTATGCTGGGAATGTGTTGCTCTGATGTGGTTGATAAATAAAACACTGATTGGAGGAGACTACAGCCAGCTGCGGAGGAAGCAAGATGTATAGAAAATGAGGTAACAAGCCACGAAACACGTGGCAAAGCACACATAAGAAATATGGGTTAATTTAAATGTAAGAGCTAACTAGTAATAAGCCTGAGCCATCGGCCAAACGTTTATAATTAATATAAGCCTCTGAGTGATTATTTGGAAATGACTGCAGGATCGTGCGGGACAGAGAAAAACTTCCGTTTACATAGCTCAGTGGTTAAGAACAATGACTACTTTTCCAGAGGACCTGCGTTCAGTTCCCACGTCAGGCAACTTACAATCTCTATACCTCCATTTCCAAGGGATGTGACACCTTCTGGCTTCCAATGGCATCAGGCATGTTTGTGGTACACAAACACACTTGCAGACAAATATTCATACAAAAATAAAGAAAGACTAACAGCAACAAAAAGGTCTATCTAAATTGCAACAGGTTACTTTTCTGGACTCTTATAAACCTGTAATGAAATGCATAAGGAATAGTGGCATGGATGCTCTATTCTTTGTATACATACCATACCTGATGCTTCAGCTGAGTTATTTCTTTTTGACACAAAGCAATTTCACTCTCTGCAAGTTTCTTTAAATCTTCATTCTCATCTAAGAAAAAGAGCAGCGGTTAAGTTTTTCTTAATTAGTGTTGAATTCACCTCCACAGAAGCCATGATAATAGACTTTGAGAGAAAAAAATCTAAGTGACTGAGAAACACTTGGCAATTAAAAGAACTTGCGACTCTTGCAGACGACCTAGACTTAGTTCCCAGCACCCACATGTTGGCTCACAACCATTTCTAATTCAGTTCCAGGGGATCTGACCCCCTCATATTATTATGGTGGGCACTAGGCATGCATATGGTACACGTGTACACATGCAGGCAAAATACACACAAAAAGTTAAATTTTAAAAATGTTTATTCGTTTTATTTGATATGTATGATTGATTATTTGCCTGCATGTATGTATGTATGTACAGCAAGTGTATGCTGTGCCAAGAGGCCAGAATGGGGTGCTGGATCACCGATGACTGGAGTTACAGACAGCTGTGAGAGGCTACACGGTGCAGGGAACAAAATCTGGGTCCTCTGCAAGAGCAGCAAGTGCTCTTCACAGTTGTGCTTTCTCGGCAACCCCAATAACTAGACAAGTTACCATAACTTTACAATACCACAAGGATACATTTAACTAGATAGAATGCCCAGAAGAGGCACAAAAGGTTCTAACAGTTAAACAAAAATTGAAAGCTGCCGTCAGTCCAAAGTTAGTCTTAGTTTCCACGGATAAAGTAAGTATCCAACCCAAAGCACTGTTGGAGTCTGCCCAATGTTTACATAAACTATTTCTTTCACCTCTGCTTTTATCATTATGTTATCTTAGAGTTCTCACTTCTGACTTAAAGATGGACTTTCTCATTCCTGTTTTTCTGTTCTATGGACATATACAGCCTGGGAAGGGGGATTACAAACCGTTTTCTCTCTGAAACAGCAAACGTGCACACAGTTTGCCTGTGTGTGTGCTAATGATAGATAAGAATCTACATCGACGGGAGGTGGGACAGTACATATCCAGAGCCTGCCTTAGGGCAACGTTATGGCTCTAAGCTCTACAGCTTCTCCACACTACAGGGTTTTGTTTTCTCCAGTTCTTTAAGTAATTGCTTGTTGTCAACTTCAGTTTCCCCACCCCAACTGTTGGGAAATAAAACAGTTAACTCTTGATAACTAGAACTTATTTTTGGATTTCCTGATTACATTAATCAGACTTTTAATTAAATTCTCTTTGGCAAACTCACCAAATGTAAAGGTGTTTTTCAGTATAAGCTGAAAAGGGTGAGCTTATCCTATGTCAGGTATTGGCACGATCTTGTTTCTTCTAAGTAATTATTAGTTTCTACAAATTCATTTAACGAATTCCTTCCCAGTCCCAAAGGTCTGCCTATTCCTCTGGAACTCATGGTTTCTTCTCCTCCTGCCTCAGGTGTACTTTATTATGCATTTCTGCCTTGTTATGGTCTCTGCCAATTTTGATTTTTTAGTATCTACCCTGACCCCTCTGACTATTCAGGCTCAACAGCTTTCTCCTACACTGTAGTTCTCCTAGACCAATACGGAAATCTGTACCAGTATCCTAACAGGTTTATTTGTATTATGTAAATATGCATTCAAAGCAAAGCTCTTTTCCCTACCTCAACAAAACTCAACTTTTGTATCTCTAACTTAAATTAAACATAGGAATCATTTTGATGGCAGAAGCTGTCCCCTCCTGTTTATAAGTCCGCCCTAGTTTTATGATACATCACCAAATCTGGTTTCTTAGTGTCTTTCAGGTCAGTTCAGTGCCTACCTACCACATCTCTCCTCTGAATGGTAAGCAGCTTCCTCCTGACTCGTGTATTCCCACACTAACTTCACAGTGGACTTTCCCTAGATAACGCCACTTCTTTCCCTAAAAATGTAAGACACTGCCCATGGTCTACAGAAACAATTCTAATCCTTCTTCTTTCTGGTTTCCCGTTTCTCTTCCGTTGCCATCTCCCCGTACCTATTCTATGCTTCCACCATACAGTGCTTGTCACGTGGTACCTATATCCACGTCGATCACTTCTGCCTTCTATTCACTTCTACACCACCTAACCACCTCCGCTTGTTAGAGATCCATTTAAATGCTACTTCCTGTTTTTCCGCACTTCTCTTTATACTGAAATTTCAAATCCTTACTTTTTATTCCCATTTTTGTGTGTGTCTATGAATATGCATGTTTGCATATGTGTGGGCACACATAAATGTGGAGGCCCGGGGTTGATGCAGGAAATCAATCTCAATCCCTCTTCTTACTTTCTTTAATGAGACAAGGTTTCTGAATCAAGCCTAGAGTTCCCACTTCAGTAACCAGACATTTCGGCTTCCGACTTGGCTTCGAATGCAGAGAAATCTCGAGGGAAACGTGCAGAGAACTCGGATTTCCAGGGCTAGGGTTCTAACTCTCCAGTGCATCACACCTCACACTGCAACAGGTCAATACCATAAAGGCACCGGGCTGCAAAGTCGGTCGCAGGGACTACCTCTTCTTTCCTGAGCATTTGAGCTGCCAGGAGGGGAGGGGAGGCAACTAAGAACCTTAGTAACTTCTGATGACTGATGGGCAGAGCACTGTGTTAAGGGAGGCCTGCAGAGCCTGAGGTCGGGAATGCAGATGGCTTCCAAACCCGCTGCAGCCGGAGGCTTACCCTGCAGCAAGGATTCGGTGTCCCGCAACTCCCGCTCCTTCTCGCTGAGCAGCCGGGCTGCCGCTGCCAGCTGAGGTCCCCCGGCGTCCAGACCCCCGGTCTCCGAGCCTGCCCGGCGCTCCAGGAAGGCCCGTAGGGGCCCTTCGCGGGCAAAGAGCTCCTCGGGCGGCGGCGTAGTGCGGCTGAGGCCGCGGAAGGCCCACAGGCGTCGGGCACCGCTCAGAAACCCGCTCCGCATCCTGACCGAGCGCACACCGTAGCCGAGCAAGCAAGGCTCTCGGAAGGATTGGGCTCCAAGTGCTCTAGGACTGCCTTTAAAAGTTCTGCCGGAAATGATGAGAGGGCTTCCGGCAAGGCGTGGGAAAGCCGCTAGGTGTCCTAAAGCCAAAAGGTGAAGGGGCGGGGCGACCACGAGGCGTTTGCCCCGCCTCCAGCCCGAGCGCTGGCTCCTGGGCCCCGCCTCGGGTGACGGGGCTCCACCCCCTCGGCCCCGTCTCCAAGGGAACGCAGGGCAAAGCCCGGGTGCCTCGGCCCAACCTCCGGGAGGAGAGGGGGAGCTCCAAGGCGGTGAAGCTCCGCTTCCTCGGCCCCGCCTCCAAGGGGGAAGCTCCGAAGCTCCGACCCGGCCTCCCGAGGGGGAGCCCCAATGCCTCGGCACCACCTCCGAGGAGGGTGGGAGCTCAGCTTCCTCGGCCCGGGCCTCCAGGGGTGGAGCTCCAATGTGGCTCCATCTCCGGCGCAGGGGATCGCCAAGGCCTGGGCCCCACCTCCGGGGGTGGGGAGAAAGCCTCGAAACTTTGGCCCCGCCTCCAAGGGGGAAGCTCCGATGCCGCGGCCCCGCATCCATTACCAAGGGGAGGGAAGGGAGCGTCCAGGCCTCGGCCCCGCCTCTAGGGGAGGAGCTCCACCGCCTCGGCCCCGCCTCTAGGGGAGGAGTTCCACCGCCTCTGGGGAGGAGCTCCACCGACTCGGCCCCGCCTCTAGGGGAGGAGCTCCAAAGCCTCAACCCCGCCTCCAGGCGGAACTCAGACGCCTCGGCCCCGCCTTCAGTCGAGGCTCAGGCCTCGGCCCCGCCCCTAGGAAGCTTTGACCCCGCCTCCGGGCTGAGTTGTAAGGCTGGCCAGTTCTAGGGATGGCCAGGCCAGGCCTGCAGCAACTTCTCTGCTATTTGAAAGTGAGGGTTTGCTTCCCAAGTCTGCATGGGGACTTGAAGAGCCATGAAGATAGTCGAGTGCCCTGCAGGCTCAGAGATCACAGCCACGGGAGTCATTTGTCCCCAGTCTCTAAGAGTGAATTTTAGGATGGTCATCCGTGTTTTCTCCTCTTCTTTTTCCTATTTTGTTTGTCTGACAGATGAGTTAGGTTCCTTCCCAAGACAGGTGTAACCTACCACGACCTCCAAGTGATGCTAACAAAATGTATCTGTTTTCCTTTCATCACCTACACATCATTCCCCAGCTTTTTCACGACATCCTGTCTCACGTTCTGGTCCATTCAGTCCAATTCTCTATTGCTCTTTCACTCTGCTCTTGCTCCCCTCCCCCGCAAATCCATGTTAAAACTAACAAAATACAACACAAGGAATCCTTCAAAAACCTGCTTTCCTTCTGCTCTGGAACTTTTCCTCACAGCGGGAGTACTCACTTATCTTGCTCAAGGCTCAGTCTCCAGCCTTACACTGAAAAATATCAAAGGCCTATCTCCAGTATCCATCCCATCCTCCTAACTGCTAACTGCTAAGATCCGAAAGACTTAACCACAGCCCACAAGAGACGTGGATAACAGGGAGTGAATAAATACAGCCAAACCACTCTTGGGAAAGCAGGGCTTGAAGCTCAGTGTATGAACTCTACAGGATTACTAGCTGTTTTTTTTTTTTTGGGGGGGGGGTGCTGTTGTTTTGCTGTGGGATGGTCTGTATGTCAAATTGTTCTGATTGGTCAATAAATAAAACACTGATTGGCCAGTGGCCAGGCAGGAAGTAGGTGGGACAAGGAGAGAGGAGAGTTCTGGGAAGCAGAAGGCTGAGGCAGAGAAACACTGCCAGCCACTACCATGACAAGCCGCATGTGAAGACACCGGTAAGCCACAAGCCACGTGGCAAGGTATAGATTTATGGAAATGGATTAATTTAAGATATAAGAACAGTTAGCAAGAAGCCTGCCACGGCCATACAGTTTATAAGTAATATAAGCATCTGAGTGATTATTTTATACGTGGATTGTGAGACTGCGGGCTTGATGGAACCTGGAGAGAAGCCCTCCAGCAACATTGTTTGTTTGTTTTTACGGTGGTGGTTCACTGCTGATCAAACTATCTTCATTGTAGAACAAAATGGTACTCTTGCCAGGCGGTGGTGGCCCACGTCATTAATCCCAGCACTCGGGAGGCAGAGCCAGACGGATCTCTGTGAGTTCGAGGCCAGCCTGGGCTACCAAGTGAGTTCCAGGAAATGCACAAAGCTACACAGAGAAACCCTGTCTCGAAAAACCAATGTATATATATGTATATACATATATATGTACTCTTAAAGTGAAAACTAATTAAAACTATTAATTACAAAATTCCCCCCAAAATCCCGAATTTTGCATCATATCTAATCAATCCTTAGCATCAAATACACGGGTACTGAAGTAAAAAAAATAAAGTGGCCCTTCAAACATCAGCAAGCAATTCCAGTGTAGTGGGTAGCCATTCCAGCTTGGATCTGGAAGTTCCAACCCCCATTGAGACTCTGGCAACTGTCACACCTACGAGGCGGGGCGAGGGGAGGCGCCTGGGTACCCGAGAGCTGGATGGGCCAGCACTCTCTCTGTGTGCTCTCTCCGTGCCAGGACGCTGAACGGTGAAGGTGGACTGTGCAGAGCTCCAGAGAACACCACTGGACTGCGTTACACCTTCCCCAGACCCTGCGACCTACCCATTACTTAATTTGTGAGTTATGCCATTAAATAAATATCCTTTAAACTACGTGGAGTGGCCAAAATAATTTCTCCAATATCTGGCGCCCAATGTGGGGCACGAACCCACGACCCTGAGATTAAGAGTCTCCTGCTCTACCGACTGAGCTGGCTGGGCCGGAGCCGGGCCAGAGCTCTGCACAGTCCACCTTCACCGTTCAACGTCCCGGCACCGAGAGAGCGCACAGAGAGAGCTCTGGCCCATCCAGCTCTAGGGTCCCCAGGCGCCTCCCCTCGCCCTGCCTCGTAGGCGTGACAGTTGCCAGAGTCTCAATGGGGGTTGGAACTTCCAGATCCAAGCTGGAATGGCTACCCACTACATTCCAGTACTTAAAATTTCCCTTATCCTTGTGTATTCAAATGATACTATGTAAATGCTTAGTTTTAAGATGGAGGTTGAGACCAGTTTTGTTTGTATTCTGACCTGAGTATAGAATAGTAGTACCATGAGGTTTTCTATTAGGAAAAGTTATTTCTAACACTAAACTCAATTTTGAAGTTATTTTTTTCTGCCACAGAAATTATGGTGAGAGTATTTTGAATTTAGTGTGAGAAATCCCTCCACTGCACTTTTCAAGACATCAGTTACTTCAAGAATATATTTTACTACTTATAAAAGGTACTCTAATGTTACATAACGGTGTAAAGAATCCACCAGAAGTCATTATACTCAGACAGTTTATACTCAGATAGTGGTAGGCCAATGAGCACACAATAACTTGTCTAAGGATACATGGAGAATTCTTTATTAATTCAAAACATTTTAAGAAAATCAGTGTAATGCATATGCATTTTATAATAATATCCATAAATCTCCACAATATAGTTAAATGAAAACACCTGTTATTTGATTTACTTTGAAAACTCAGATACACTTAGAGACTTCTGAGTTTTCTTACATTATTGTCATGCTCAAATCTATTACATGGTAAAAATTGTAGCACTTCCAGGAAGTCTATTATTGTACATAGGTAAATGATAAAATCTATTCAATGGAATAAAAATGCAGAAAAACAAACTGCAAGAAAAGAATCTGGATTATCTATTCAGTTATGAGTACCCACAGTTACTTCAGTATTATGAAATAGCCAAGCATGGTTACTCTTGCATTCATGTACCCAGAAACTTTTCCTGGTCCACTAATAAATATATTGGTAGAATACAAAATATGGAAATAGATTACTAAATAGAATGAGCATGGAAGTAGGAAATTGTACATGTTCAAGACGATAAGTTTCACAGAATCAAATTCATGAAAATACTTTTTAGTATTTTGAGAACACTTTAAAGTCAGACACAAGAAACACCGTGACGAACAGGCTAAAGCTAGAGGGGCAACATCAAGTCTTCCACACCACTTCAGCGTAGCATACATTGCTCAGTGGATGGTACACAGGAAAGCATTAAACACGAGTAATAAATAACCACTTGCTACAATTAATGAGACTAAAATCTTCAAATCCAGCATGTGCGCAGGATCTAGGTAAGTACACAGGGTGTGTCAGGGAGAGGGGAATCGGTTACGCTTTTAAGTGAATATTCAAGCTAACACTGGTTTGGAATTTGATCCATGTCACTTCCTCACTCACTGCATGTTCGTTATAGTATTTGGTAGTAATCTTTTAAAAGAGCCTAGTATTTTGTGCTAAGAAATCTGCCAGAATTGCTTTTGTTTGTTTTTCTTGCCCAGTGTAAACAGGCTGTTTCCTCCAAGACACCCTCTTGTGCGTGTGTATTACTCAACAGCAGAGAGGCTACTCAGAACAGGATGCTTCAACCAGGTGATAGGTAAACAACAACAACAACAAAGAAGAGCCCAAAGCAAGAGTCGTTAGCCTGCTGGCATGTGCCTTTGATGTCCTGTAAAAAACTTGGCGCTATTCAGGGATGGACAGGTGGCTCAGCAGTTAAGAGCACTTGCTGCTCTTGCAGAGGACCCGGGGTTCAGTTCCCAGCACACACATGGCGGCAGGGAAGAGGGGGGGACTCAAAACCATCTGTAGCTCCCATTCCTGGGGACTCTTTTGGCCTCTGAGGTGCTGCACACATATGGTCACATATGTACATGTGGACAAAACACTCATACACATAAAATCAAAATAAATCTTTACAATAACAAGACAAGAATAACACTATTCCTTCTAGAAAACAAAAACTCCTATCTAAACACACACACACACACACACACACACACACAAACACCTAGACAAATCCCAGCAGAGTGATGCTCTGCACAATAGATGTCTGCTTCCTCTCAAAATTGTCAAGGTTATGAAGGATACAAGAACACTTCTAGAAAGTCACAGCTGAAAGGAGCCACGGGAGAGGTAACAACAAATGGTCACGTTGTTACCAGATGTAGGAGCAGAGAGAAGACATTGGGTAAAGCATCTGGTATTGGAGTGGAATACAGACTCAATGAGTCAACACTACTCTTTAACTGTGACTAATGGCTGTCACAGGGGTAGAGCACATGAGGCCATTCTGTACTGTCTTTGTGATCTTTCAATAAAGGCTGGAAATACTCTAAAATTTGATGAAACACATAGCAACTGTTATCAGTCTTTCCACTCACAGTTTCATGATAGAATTGACAAAAATCACACTACTATTAAAAAGATGGTTTTTTAAATGGTGCTTTATGAAATTACAGTTGTCTCTATCATCTACTGACATACTTGGTATATTGGTAAATAACTTGATTTTTATATTATTCCTATCCTTGGGAATGTTGATTTATTTCCTATGTCTCCGTCTTTGTGTGTGTGTGCGCATGTGTGTGTGTGTGTGTGTGTGCACGCACATGTGTGCATGTTCATATTTAGATTTTGCAAATATGTTTCAAATAATCAACAAAGAAAGTAGAGTAGAGAGCACAGGGAAAGGTGCTGGGTAATAAATGAGAACAAGATATAATAAAACATCTGTATGAAAATGTTGTAATAAAACCCGTTTTTGTATGCTAACCTAAAAAAATTAAAGGAAAAATTTGGGAGAAAATATATTAAAATGACATTGACTATAGACCTTCCTATAGACTATTACTGGCCTGCAGAACTCTGATAAATTATCATACTCAATACCATTGTTCCCATGACCACCCCATAATTAATATTCTTCATGTTCGGATGAAGAGACAGATTCAGAAAGGATAGTGACTTTTCTACCATCTCTGGATACCAGTTGAAATCAGTTTGGTCATTGCAAAAGGAGATGTGCCCAAGCCTAAGACAATTAAATTATCGGTTTAAAACTCAAATCGCTAACTATTTAAAAAGCTGAAATGCTGTAATGAAGGGATACATCAACAGAAAAACGTGCAACAGAAAACATTTGGCACAAGACATGAGGGGGACTTGAACTTCAGGTTGTCCACATGACATTAAAACGTTGGTTATCATTATGAGTACTTTTGATACCTGCTTTCCCCAATGCAGAGCCTTTGTCACAAGAATTGAATGAGTCCCCAGCCCCATCTGCCCAACTAAGGCAACACCCACTTCCTCTGTGTTCTCACTAGAAATGATGGTCTGGAATATTCACTTAAACTGATGGGGAAAACATGTCACTTACGGCTGTGTTGGACTATATCTGTAAGAGTAATATTTTTCTAAACATACACAAAACTCAAAGTTTGCTGCTGGGAGCCAATACTTCTCAATGCACACTGTGTGTTGCAATGATATTAAAATCTTGCAGATACATTCTGAAGTACGGTCTCAGATGTTTTAGTGGTAAATGTTGGCAGTTGTGGCAAGTGAAGAATTATTAAAATGATTACACGTGGGATACTCCTTTCTAAGGATGGCATTGTATATTAACATTGAATATTTAAAAACAGAAAAGAATACCCAAATAATCGACTTCCTTTGGAAATTGGTCATTAACTGGCAATCCAAATAGATAGGTAAGCCAATCTTTTGACATTCTTTCCTATTTCAAAATAGTACATAAATCTTAAAGTATTCAAAATCCATGTTATGTCGGGTTCTAAGTATATCTTCTAGCTGTTTAAAAACAAATTGGTGGTTTTTCAAAAGGTTATTTTCCTATGGTTAATTTTGTTTCTTCCATTTAAAAATCTTCACCAAAGCACCTGATTTTTTTATTTGTTTTGAGTGTGGTTTCCACAATTACAATGTGACTTTTTCCGAGAAGATTAAAAAATTATAGAGAAAAAAAAGAATAGACTTAAATTAAAATTCAAGTATTATTTTAAACCATCACAATAGGGAGAGACATGTATTTGTTTTCAACAAATAAGCCTTTATCTAGTTCTATAGTCCTTTGACACTGAACTATCAAATAAATGTAGCACACACTTTATACTAGGAGGCATTGGAGGGCACTAATAAACAATCCAGGCATGGCGACTCACTGTGAAAACTGGTTATATATAAATATTGTATGAATTTTTTAAAGACCATATTATAATTTTGACTTTTGCATTTCACAATTTCAGTATCAAAATCCTGTTTTGCTCATATTCCTATGTGCCTTGTCATACTGTCAGAGCATCTGTGATAACCCTGGATAACATCATAATAAGCCAGAAAGAGAAGAGTCATCCATCCAGTGTTAGCATGTCTATTTGGAAGATCCACCTCTCAAGACCTCTGTTTTCAAGTCACCTCTGTATACATCATCTACATCACCTACTTTTCTTTCCTTAATAGATATGTCTATAGACAGGTACTATAGAAAGTGCATTAACCTCTTCTGTGTATTCGCAGATTCTAAGAACATAAAAAGTTATCTTGGCAATTTAAACCACAAGGTGCTTCATTTTAAAGTGCTAGTATTTTCCCCAGGGAGCTATATACTCGCTAGGGATGAAATCAAAATTGAATAAAGCAAATGTTGTGCTCTTGAAATGGTGGCAGAGACACCAGTTGAGGGCTTTTGTTTGTTTATGATAGCTCTGTGATTGAAACTGAAGAAATCATACCGTACTGTAAAAACTGGTATAGTTATAAATCCACAGACACACCCTTCCAAACTTGAAACATTCTGGAATGAAGTCAGGAACCCTCGCCCCTGAAATAGGAATTTAGCGCAGACCTGCTCACACGGCCTGGCTAATGACACGAACTGTGCAAATGTGCTCTAGAACCTTCTCAGGGAAACTTCTTAACTGGGGTTCCAAAAAGACACAGCAACTTTGAAATGCAAACATGGCAAATGCCCAGGTTAGAGACGAGGCCTCGTTATGGAGGCCCTTAACTTCTACATTTGGTAAAATATTAGCTGCATTGTCAATCAGACAACTCACCTAATCGTCCAAAGCATCTTGTAAAGATAACCTATGAGAGTAAGTCACCAGCATCCACAGTAACAACAGGAATATAAAGTCTACATCAAAAACAATTGTGCATGCAGAGAGTCATAGTATTTTACATATCTCCTGGTACGTGCACCAATTCATTGTGCCTCAAACACAGAAACACGTATGATGCCATACTATATATGTGTACACTCCTAGGAGCATAATAAACTAATCAAGAAAATAATTAAATGATTCAGAATGATGGGACTTCACAATAGAAGCAACGATGCCCCTTTTAAGATTTCTTGACTCTTTAGGAAAAAAATAGGATTTTTTTTCTGTAAACATCTTCATAACTATCTTTTTCTCAACGTATTACTGAAACTATTCAAATAGTAAATATCTAGGTGACATGAATAAAGCACATCTTAAATACACTAAGACTTTCAGAAAAAGAAACACAGGCATGTGTTAAAAGATGACGGTTATAAATACTTTCTATCTGCACTTTAACTATGTGTTCATAAATAATGTATTTAAAAGTGCTGAACATGGTAGGATAGTCAGCGACGCCAGTGTAAACAGAACGCTTAGTTTTCGACTCTGCAAATTGTCTTTAAAATCCCATTTCGTCAAACACTGCAACAGCTAAAATATTTGCATAGGGAATAGGTAATAGCCCTTTTAATCATAGCTCCTGAATTCTATATAAGTTAGAAAATCATACTCACTTAAAAAACAATTCTTGAAATGTTTTAAATTTATGGAAAAAGAAACATGATGCCAACCTTTCAAGTAACATAAATTTAAAAAGAAAACTCCAAACTTTTCTTTTTAAAAAAATATGTTTAATAAATTAAAAATGAGAGGTAGTTAAAAAATGACAAATAAAACCTATAATTAAATATCATCCTTAATATAAGGCCAGTATTCTCAGTGGATATAAATCTTTTTAAATCTTCCATTTTTTTAGATTACTCAACATTATATTCATTGAGTTTAAGATTAAAAAAATAGTCTCCAGGGGATATTGATATTGAAAGATAAGACCTTGATATAAATATGAAATTGATTGTAATTTTGGTTTTGTGCACAATACGACACTGTTCTGAAGGTCAGAAATACATGCCAGGGTCAAGTGAGTATTTCATGTAAAGAGTTAATGTAATTACAAAAAATAATATTGGCAGCTAAAATATTTGAGCACTGTACTGCCTTTTAATTGTGGATGAGGGTTAATTGTTTTTAACAATGTTAAAATAAATCTTTCTTGAGATACTACATGAAAACAGTTAAGGTCTGACATCGGAGATTTTCTTCTTCATAACCCTTTATAAAATGTTGGCTTAGGAAAAACTTAAACTTTTCACTGGATTATACGTTCAAGGCAAATATGCCACATGCCAGATGCAATTCCTCGAGATGTTTTCACAGTGCTACACGTAGGCATTCCTCACTAGATCTTTTGCTTTATAGTCCCAAACTGGATCAGCAAGCACATTATTATTTTCTTGCTGACATACATAACTTTACATGACTAATTTAGAACTGGAGAGCCATTCTTTAATAAATTAGTTATAGTATTGGACATTTGATATATACATAGACTCATTTCTTCTTGTATGAAATACCTAAAAAGAGTATCACTCTTGGATTTTTCAACGAGACAGGGTATCTTCAGCCGATTTTGTGCTTTTTAAATTTTTCTTATCACTGTTAGGTTTTGTTGTTGTTTTCTTTCTTTCTTTCTTTTTTAAAACAGAGCAAACTCTGCTGTAATGAAAATTCCAGAGTTTGGGCAGTGAACAACCAGAGGGCTCTCAGACTAAGACCCATCCACAGGCAGAGATGGTCAGCTAACTTTTTCTTTCCATGTACAGAAAAATTGGCTTCAAAGTCCCTGTACTAAACATAGTATGTAGCATGGTTAAATATCACTGTTACATGTTTAAAATAGCCTTTTTTTTGTATCAGATTATGCTTAAAAAATGCAAACCACAGCCAATTTGTTGGCGATTGTTTCTAAGAGACCATATTGCACAAAAGTCCTTAATTACAGATATAAGGTATGCTACTGAGGAAATAGTACAGCTAAGTGGCAGACAAAGCAGTTGTACTTTGCACATGCGGCCTCTGGAGATGCACTAGGAGACTGCTCAGAGGACTAGGAACACAGTTTGCTTGCAAGGAGAACAAGTGTTGAATAAACAAACTTAATTTGGCAATTCACTGTCTCGTATAGACTTTTCTCCAAACAGAATCATGGGTAACCTTGATTAAAAATGGAGACAAAGACCCTCATGGTTGTCTCTTGCCAGCAGCCCGAGGGTGCCAACCTGTAGTTCTCCAGGAACTCAATTTCTGGTGTCATTTAACTACTTATATTTCCCATCCCAGCCCTCTGAAGTGATTTTTTTTTTTTTTGGCCTTTCCCATGAAAGTTACGATTCAGAAGAAGAGTTGGCAGTACTTTCCACAAAGGCTTTGTAGATCTGCGAGTTCAAGAATCTTGGGAAAGAATCCCTGTGCATCAGGGTATAGATCTGGAGCTGGGCGTCTTCATACATGTGAGGGCTCGGGTCCAGCAGGTTCTTGTTGATCACCTCCCTAACTCGAGAATCCAGGCTGACCTAAAATGGAACAACAACAGATTATGTCCGTGTGGTTTGCAAAGGACATCTCAGAGAGATTTCATAGATGAAGTCTGATACTCACGACCCCAGAGACTGTCCTTTCAAAGGCTAAATAAATGATTTGTGAGTTCCTCCTTCTGATGTGGAATTATACAACAGCGAAGAAGAAGAAGAAGAAGAAGGAGGAGGAGGAGGAGGAGGAGGAGGAGGAGGAGGAGGAGGAGAAGGAGAAGGAGGAGAAGGAGGAGAAGGAGGAGAAGGAGAAAAGAAAAGAAAAGAACAATTTGGCTCACACAGATCTTGGCTTCTTCGTGTTTATCTTCTCCATGTATTATTGAGTGCCACTGCCAGAAAATAATCAGAATGTTATTCACCACCCACTCCTTTCCTGTGATTGTTAGCGTGACTCTGTTGACAATTGGGTACAAATCTGAAGGCAGAAAAGAATTCCCCGACCAAAATCAGCACACCTGTCATACATGGTACTTAATAGTTTCATATTCCAAAGGGTCCCACCAAGTCAAGGCAGGGAGAGCACAGACCATGGGAGAGTAGAGAAAAGCAGAAACAGAGTAGCTCTACAGTCCTAACCATGTGGCGCCATCTGGGAAACATCTTTAAAAGATCTCTACAGAGCAGAAACTAGGATAATGAAGTATACTACTTAATAAAAGAATCTTAGGAAATCAGAATACTCAATAAAATTACCAATGCAGTGTTGCTTTAAAAGTATACAGAAATTAAACTCAGGGGAAAAAAAATTCAGTTACCCATCACATGCTGCTATTACTGGGCAATTTACCTGGGACACAAAGGACATGTTAGGAAAGGAGGAACAGAAAAATAGCACTAAAGCCATGGTTAGGGGAACAGATCAAATGATCTGTCCTAAAAGGCCATGTTAGAAATAAAACCTACAAATGTAGGAGGCTTGGATCCCCAGCCCAGCCAAAGGAGGAGGAGAAAAGAAAAACCATACAGGAGACAAAACAATCATCCAGAGTGTTGATTGCTTTCGACTGTGACCATGGTGTTGTGGTGCATGGCTGACTGTCTCTTAACACACAGCCTTTTGTGTTTATATGCAACACCTTGGCCTAAGCATGTTGTGATGGCCATCTTGATTCTGGCTGTTTTTCTCCTCCATAGACAGGACTGTATGTTGTCTGCAGTGATCTCAGAATGAAGCTACGCAGATCTCACCGTGTTCCTGAACTCAGCAGACACGTGTGTTAGGCTGGTGGATAATCCAAAGGGCAGCTTGCTAGGTTTGTCAGGAAATGGAGGCCAGCAATTAGTTTCTGCAGTCTGACCTACCCAGTTTATGCATACAAAAAAGTGTCCATCTCTTAGCTGGACTGATTAACATGTTCTCCTTTTTTTGGGTCTTCTCTTTTTAAACACACATTTTGTAAGTGAGCTCTTCACTTCATTTGGCTTTTTCACACCATATGAAGTCACCAACAACAGCAAAGGGGGTGGGTGGGGCTGGTCATCATATTACTGTAACCCCTTGAACATTTCTCAAGAGCAAACTAACTTAAAATTTTAATTGGGTTGCTAGAAGTATTCCTTATAGGTTCATTCAGATAATGGGAAAAACAGGCTAGCACTTCTGATAAAGTGTACAGGAAGGAAAAAATAATTTCTATTCTCCATTTCTGTCCAAGAGTTAGTGGTAAAGAAAGGAGAGAAGTGAGTCCTTCAGTACTGGGGGAAAAAAAATCCCAGCCTAAGAGTCAACAAGGATGCCATGGGGTTTTATTTGTTTGTTTTTGAGCTGCCAGCCAGGGAAATGTTTTCAAACTAGTATTTATGTGAGCAGCTGGGTAAAAGCAAAGAATCCTGGGCTCTGTTTCCCGAAGTCCAGATTAAGCAGAACTTGGTGGGGGTGGGGGTGGGGTGGGGATGGGGTGGGGATGGCTTTGCAGTTAAAGCGCTTGCCTTGCTAGCATGAGGATCAGAGCTTGCCTTCCATTCCCAGAACCCCACAGAAACGCCCTGTGGGTGGGTGGGGCCCCTTGTGAGCTTCAGAAGCAGGAGACAGAAAAATCCCCAGAGCATGCAGACTGGGGGAGGGGGAGGGACTCTAGGTTTGCTCGGGGAAAAAAACCCACCTCGATGGTAATATAGAAGGGCAATTGAGAATGATTCCTAATGGATATGCAAATATATATATACATATATATATACACACCTATTGTTGCATATATATGCGTGTGCGCGCGCGCGTGCACCATTGTGAACGCGTACCATTGCGCGCGCGCGCGCGCACACACACACACACACACACACACACACACACACACACACACACACACACTCTTGGGTAGGCTTCAGTGATTGATTGGCTTTTTAGACAAATGACCCACGGGGGCTCTCAGATACACGGCCTGAGCATCATGCTTTGGAAAAGCATCACCCACTTTATACAACATAGCAACTTGCTTCTGCATGGCGTTAGTTCTGGAAAGCAAGTACCTGTCACAGACTGTGAGGCCAGGGATGAATGAATGAATGATCAAAGCACACTGGGGAGACCCGGCCTTCAACGTGTCCAGGGGGACTCTGAACGGAAGCTCATTAACCTAGCCAGAGAGGTCTAGGCACTGATGTTCTCAGTGTGGGTCCTTTAGAGCCGCCCTGGTCTCAGGAAGCCCACCTCAGCATTCTCCGGCCTCTTACCTCTTTCGGCGACAGTATAGAAATGTAGTCCTCGTAAATCATTCTGGCCTTCTCTTCAACCACTTTTTTGTTCTGTTCTTTCTTCAAGTCTTCGCAGGCTAGCCAGAAGAGGAGGTTCTCTTCGCTGTATTCTGTTCGGAGGAACTCTCGGAAAAGGTTGCGTCCCGCAGGAGTCTTCATCATCTTGTCAAAATTTTGAGACCAGGACAAGACTTCCTCCGCAGTGGGGTCCTGGCTGCAGAGAGAGGGTGAAGAAGCCATTAGAAGCAGCGGCGTCCGTCCACGTCCACCTGCAAATGCTAGCAGGGAAGGGAGCTGGTGGTTGGAAATTCTTAGTCACATGCTGCCCTCTAATGGCCGCATTTTGCTATTCCGCTCGGCTTGATCCGGCAAGCCATCTGAGGGACTGACTGTATCAGTCCCGAGCCTGGCTGGACAAAGGAACCCAGGGGTGCAAGATGCAGGCACGGGAGCCACGGGTTAGAACAGCAAGGAGTTATATACCACATGCTCATAGCTGTGGGACAGTCCTACGGAATTCTGCAAGTGGTGATGTTTCCGAGCAGTTTGTTGTAAATGGATGGGAACATTGTGTGAATAACTTTTCTCTCTTCCTCAGTTGCATGGTCTAACCGTAAGAAAGAGCTGATTTTCCATTTCCAGGATCCATTTCTTATTATTTACACAATCTCCAGTGTCGTCCGTGTGACATAAACAATTATGTCTATAATAGCTGACGGGTCCCACGGGACTAAGCTCCCTAAAGGTCCCTGACAAAGTGCCGCGTTATGCCTTCCTCTCAAAGAAGACCAGCTTCACGGAACATGAGTTCCCTGGGCTATGGGTTCTGTATAACTGCTTTTCTGATAATGTTCTAATTAATCTATGAAGCACAGCCAAAATTAATAAATGCTTGGGTTATATACTATTAAAAAAGCTGGACATAGATCTTAATCAAATATAACAAAATAAGCTATTTTTTTAAGACCCCAAGCCACTAGATAAAAAAAGTATAATAGTTCAGGCACTTCTAGGGAATGAACACTCATCCACTAGGAATCCTTTAGGAATCCCAACTAAAATGATTTATGGTAAAAAACGTTATCTCATAGGAGTCAGATGGTGGGCCCCTCTGTTAAAAAAAATTCAACATGAAAAACTTAAAGACTACAACAAAACCCCTTCCCCTTACAGGTGTAAAAGTATAAGAGTCCATATTCCAACAGATAAAAAGATTTTATATTAAAAGAGATATGTAATAAAAAAACTAAAAAAAGACTTAGGATCTACAACATCCAAATTGGCTAAATGGGTCATAAAAACAAAAAAATACATAATAAACTAGAAAATGGCTAAGATAAAGATAAAGGACACAGCTACAACCACAAAGAAACCTACACAAGTCTAGGGACTGCACTAAGTTTAAAAAAACACAGACTGCTTTTTGGGTCATAAAGTTCTTATGAGTGAAGGGATATGTCTAGCGCCGATTAATAACTGTTTGCTTGCTTTTTTTTTAAAAGATGATGTGATTAAATTATTACCAAGCTCTCATTGTTCCTTGTATGACTTGATAGTTTTCTTTTCTATATATAAACTACTAATTTACAAAAGTAAAATTACAACAGATTCAAAACACTTCTAAATGTGTTGTCTCTCTGTCATTCACCGAATTCTTGCCTTCCTGACTACCCAAGCCCTGGTTCTCCTACGGTCGTGGTACCCCCGATGGGCCAGTCCGTGACAGTTTTGTACACTTGTCAAAATGTCCCCAAATGCTCAACGTATTCCTTAAAAAGCATTGGCCGGGCGGTGGTGGCGCACGCCTTTGATCCCAGCACTCGGGAGGCAGAGGCAGGTGGATCTTTGTGAGTTCGAGGCCAGCCTAGTCTACAGAGCAAGATCCAGGAAAGGTGCAAGGCTACACAGAGAAACCCTGTCTCGAAAAACCAAAAAAAAAAAAAAAAAAAGCAGAGGACTTTTAGAAGAGCATGAAGGGATTTTTCAGGACAACTGTATACAATAAATACCACTACTTTATTGCCCAAATCACCAGGCACTGATCTATTTGCCCCCACACCAAAGAAGGAGAAGCACAAAGCTTGGAGATTTTTTATTTTTTAATTTATTTTTTTTAAAGACCAGCTGTGCATTTATTTGCATAAAGCCAAAGGTCAGACTTAAAATCCAAGCTAACAGCCATGAGGCTTACAGTTTCACACTGATCCGGTCTTGAAAAGGTCTTGGTTTTCTCTGCTTACGAGGATGCTGTTCTCTTTCACACTTCACTGACATCTTCAGTTTTCACAGAATCAGTATTAAGTCCAAAAAAGTCTTTTTTTCTTTTCTTTTTTTTTTTTTTTTGATGATGTACCGAACACACTGCAAAATCACATTTCTTTCATGTCAAATGTCTGGAGCCAGAAGCATTTCCAGGAGGTATGGGTGATGTGTTCTTGGTTCATATAACGGGTGGTAGTAGCTCTTTTTCCTCTAAAGGGCCATCTTCCTGAAACCAATCCTCTGGCTCTCCCACTTGGCTCCTGCGACAAATTCTACCAGCTATTTCAACATTTTGTCTTGGACTCTTAGGAGGACGGCTGTGGAGAACATGGTTTTCTGTAGGAACGTCTGCTTCAGTCTTGATAGGGATCTCTTCCCGTTCACTCTCTGACCCTGAAACACTGCCTGGGCTGCTTATCAGTGAGCACAGTGCTGGTGTCACCTCCTTAGGTACTATAGTCCTTTGCGGTTTCTCCTCCTTATCAGACTCAGAGTCACTGCGTATCAAAGTACCGAGAGGGTCTGCGGATGGAGCTGCAGGCTTAGAATTTCTGGCATGATTGCCCAGGCCAATGGCTGCTCTCTGTCTAGTCCCACCATTTTTCTATCTATGATGTTTACCAGGACTTCTGATTTTTTGCCGTCTGGGAACGTCTGGACAGGCCTTTCATTTTGCCATACTGTGCTGTTGTCAAGACTTCCCCTCTCTTTTCCTTTTCAAGCTGTAACTTTTTCTTCCTTTCAATGTTGGCCAGAGTTGGGTAGTTTTTTTTTTTTCCTTTCTTCCCTCCATCTTGCAGTCTCTTCTGGAGTGTCTAGCTTGATCTTCCTCCTACCAGGAGCATGCATATTTTCCCAACGGAACTGGACAATCTTCTCGTGTGCACTAAAGGAGCAATCTACCTCAGGGCATTTTGTATGTTCACACATGTGTATGTCATAGTTTTCTTGAATTTTAAAGCCACGGTCACAGGTATCACAGAAAAAGTGGGAAATCGGTTCCTTTCTTTTCCTCTTTTTCTGTTTTGGGGCAAACTGAAGTCATTGAGTTTTGCATCGTGTGTTCGTGGAAAATAGGACTGTGTAACCAAAGAGTAGTAGGATGTGTACACCCAGTTGTCCTGCGGTGGGTTGAGCGCGGAAGTCAGCTCGGGGGCTAAAGGCCACCCGGCGGGAGTGGGCTCTGCCATGCCACCTAGCAAGTGGAGAGCCCAGCGTGCCATTGTGGCGCTATCATTAAATGTCCTTTTTTTAAAAAAAAAAATTATTTTTTTTATTTTTAAGATGATCCAGAATCTTGCCTTTTAACTCAAAATATATTTGGTTAGGAGGGGTGTTATTTTATTTTTGTTTATTTTCACTAGGTATCTTAGATAGACTTGCAGCTGGCCCATAATATCTGAAGCTCTTCGTTCATTTACAGTATTAAATTTGGGGCTGGGGAGATGATTCAATGGGTAAAGTGCTTTCTATGCATGAGAACCTGAGTTTGAATCCCCAGGGCTCATGTAAAAGCCAGGGAAGGTGACGTGCTCCATACCCCTAGTGCTTGGGGTAAGGGGTGGAGATAGCCAGATGCCAGGGGCTCACAAGGAAGTCAATTTAGCAAAAATTTGAGCTCCAGGGTCAGTGAGAGACCCTGCTTTAAAAAAAGGTGTTGGGTGGGTGGGGTGGAGTCACTTGCTGCTCACCTCTAATATCCACACATACACACGTGGGGGAGCACACCCACACACATGTGCATATACACATCCACATAACATGGACATACACATGCAATACATCAATAAAAAAATTAAATGTACAGCTGCTTAACATCACAGTGAAACTCATATTAAAACTTGTATAAAGAGCAAAAAAAGATGCTTTATAATTATGTGAACCATCAACTTATAATCAGGTTTTCTCCTCTAAAATTGCATTTCAATTTCTCATTTTGGAAAGACTTGCCTAAAGACTGTTCTAGTGGCTATAAAACCAGGAGCTGGCTAGGTGGCTGGTTTTCACTGGTTGATTTTGGTAATCCTGTGTGTGTGTATGTGTGAGTTCGTGTGCATGTGTGGGTGTGCATGTGTCTTTGTGTTGCATGTGCATGTGTAGGTGTGCATGTGTGGGTGTGCATGTGTCTTTGTGTGCATGCACAGGTGTGTGTATGTGGTATTTAGATTCTTATACAATGAAGATAAATTTTAAAATATTTCCAGTCAAGAGAAGTAAAAGCCAGTAACTTGTGCAATAATCTTTACTGAACTATCAGAGAAAGATGAATTGGGACAATGCTTGGCCTTGTAACACGGTTAAAGAAAAACCTGGTCAAAGCTATTTGCAGTCGTAAGATCTTCCAGGTTGAGTTGTCACTCACTTCATAGAACCACAAGAGATGCCGCTTTGGCCTGGGGTGCACACAAGTGCACACACACACACCCAGAAGAGACCCCAGCCCGGCCACCACACTCACCACTCTTCTAGGACCTGGATGCTCTCCATTTTTGTGGTGTGTGTGGATCTCCCCGCACCGTCTCCTCTCTCCTCATTCCTGACGGTGAGGCTGCAAAATGTAACACACTCTGTCAAGGGAATTGCAAAAAGCCAAAGAAAAGTATCACTCCCTCAGGAGAAACAGATCACAGGAGATTTGATCCAGCCACGTGGGATTATTTAAAATGCAGAAAGAGGAGTGACACTTTTATAGGATGGTAGTGAGTGAGAGTTGGTAAGTCTGTATCAACTTAAAAAAAATCATAAAATCAATCAGAATCCTCACATGGGTATCATTATCTATTCTGACTTCATTATTAAATAACTTAAATTACTTAAATTCTTTTACATAATTGTACCTTTATAACCTCAACATTGGACATGCTTTCATAGTTGACATATTGTTGTGTTACCTTTAAGAGTGGAGAGTCATTTTGAGTTTTGCTTAGTTCTGTTGAGTTTTTCTCATTTATTTTCTCCCTATTAGTAGCTAAGAAGGTAGAGCACACCAGAAGCCAATACAGACTTAGATATCTTTGTAGCATCCTTCCCGTCAAGCCATAATTTTGTCAGCAATACCATCATTTCTCCAGTCCCTAAAGTTTGAACAACTGGATTGGGTTCTATGTCAGTCAGTCTCCGGGAGACAGTTTCAAGGATGTGGAGCAGGAGCCCACTGGGTGAGTGTGATGGTTATGTTTCCACTGTCATCTTGGCAGGGTCCAGAATCAGCTGGGAGATGGGACTCTGGCCATACCTATGGGGGAAATACTTTGACTATGTTCATTGATATGGGAAGACTAATTTTAATTGTGGGTGGGGCCATTCTTCAGCTAGAGGCCCTGGATCTTCTAAACACATTTGCATTCACCCCCTCTCTTTCCTTACTATGGATGGGTGTGACTAGGCAGTTGGCTCAAGCTCCTGACAACTTGACCTCCCCACCATAATGGGCCGCACGTTGAACTATGGGCTAAAATAAGCCCTCTTTCCCCTAAGCTGCCTTTGTCTGTGTATTCTATCACGGCAACAGGAATGATGCCGAGGCAGTAGAAGGCTCTGCGCCTCTGCTGTAGAGCGACCAATCTGGAGTCAATGTGCATGAATCATACGCTTCCGAGCATAATCCTGGCTCTTGTGTCTATTCCTGCGATGTTTACAAACATCTCAAATGCTAGCATATTAGAGCCATCAGCATAAAATATTGGATTGTGTTTACATCTCTCATTTCTACAGATGGTAAAATATGGACACACATTTGGACTAAATCTAGTTATGACAGAAATTCAGTAAATGCTTAACTGTTCACCATGGGTACCATTCTTAATTTCATACTGGGCACAGAATTAGCCCTCAATAAAAAAAAATTGAACTTAAGCAGTGGTAGCCTAGGAAAATAGGACAAGAATCCCCCGGAGACAGCTGGCTGGGTGAACGAGTCAAATGGATGAGTTCTGGGCTTGATTGAGAGACCCTGACTCAAAGAATAAGTTGGAAAGTAGATTTCTGACATTAATCTTGGGCTTCCATAAGTCTGTGCATGTGTGTGTTGCCTTATGGAAACATGGAGAGAGAGAGAGGGAGAGGGAGAGGGAGAGG